ACACTGCATCTGACGACTTCTTTGGTCTGGACTCGCATGGAATATCATGAATATCCAAATTCGACGACGAGGAACCTACTTTGAGACTAATAATGCTTGGAGACGGGTTGAATGGGTAATGAAGAAAACTTATATTAAAGTTTTTCTTCACTACCCATTCAAGTCGTCTCCCTGCATCATGAATATCCGTTTCGATCTCCAGCTGCTTGAGGTATGTAAAGGTTGAACAAGAGGTCTGACTGGAAGCCTTATCTTGGTGAATCAATATTTTCGTACAAAGCCAGTATTTCTATGTGGTACAGGAGGTCCAGAACACTGGTCTGATGATAAGAAGAATTCACCATGACCTTTGTATACACTCTCTCGAACCATAACTTGGTCAGAATCAAGTGATGATTATGAATCCATTTGAAAAGGTTTGGCCACATGCCATGAACGACGTTTGGAAATTTCTTTTCGCCCATTAGTGTCACCACATACTGCCATTTTCTCCAGCTAAATACTGTTCATAAAGTTTTCTACAGTTGGTCTTTCTTTCCTGGATAAGTCGTTATAAAATCTGAGTATGTAGCTTTTCCAGATAGGTCCTACTATATTATGTTTCTTCTTGTTATCTGGGGCACGTGCACGGCTTTTGCTACTGTTTGTGGATTCTCACCTGTTACAAGACGTTGCTCTTAGCTTAGCACGAGTGACTTTGTTGCAGGTCTCTTTCTGGATGATGATGGTACCACAAGTTATCGTCATTCCCTTATTTTCCAGTACCATTAAGTACAGTCTTAGCCAAACTGTTTGTATACATATTAGTCTATATTGATGTTATTGTCTACATGCATGGAGTAGTTATTGAGTAAGTGCCCGAGCAGCAACAGAGAAGGTAACGTATAATGTATGAATTGTTATTCTGGTCTACATAAGTTGTTTTGAGCATTTGTTTGTCAGGTACATATACACATCTGTTTGTATAAAAGGGTGTGCTTTTGGTTGACATGTTTCAACGCTTTGTTCAGATAATTTATCTGTACTTGGTGTAAAGTCATGCTTTGTCACGTGCCAGAAGTTATAGGGCGTCAAATTGTTTGACTGTCTGGAAATAGTGTGAAACAAACGGACTTTGCCAGAACAGTAAGGTACCACCAGTGTACCGTATCCAGAATTCTGAAATGTCATCGGACTACATGAAACGTTGTTCCAGGAAAATATGCTGGTAGACGCCAAGAAACCTGCCGCCCGAGATGACCGTGTTTTGATCAGGTTAGCATGTCAAGGTCGAAAAAGTCTTACAACACTTTACGACAGGAATGACATGAACATATTCATTACAAGGTCTTCAGAAAAAACAGTGAATAGGAGACTGACTAAACAAGGTTACTTTGTAAGAAGGGCTACCTGCAAATCGATATTAACCAGAATTTACCGCCAGTGCACAAGACAGCATCCCAACTTACAGTTAGTACACTGACGACATGTCATCTTTTCATATGAGTCCTGTTTCCGGCTTGTTAAAGCTGAGAGTAGGATTCGTGTTCATCGTTTGCCTGGAGGACAGATGAGGGGAAGAAGTTGTGCAGTACACGTTTGGGCAGCTATTCATCATGGTGGAAAACTGCTCTTCGTATCCTCCAAGGAAACGTCAGTGGCGCCTCTTACAGACATCACACGGAGACGATATTTCTGCCATATGCTAGGGCAAGGTTTGGCAAAAACTTTGTGTTCCAGGGTGACAATGCCACTGCCCACAGTGCGCATATTATACAATATTATCTCGACTAGAAGGACGTTACAAGATTACCATGGCCAGTAAAGTCTCCAGATTGTAATTCCATTGAGAACTGATGGGCAGAACTGAGCCAGAAAATTGCTAACTACGACCATAAACCAGCTACTGTAGCTGAGTTGCAGCGCCTTCTAGTGACAAGTTGGGATGAAATCACGGTAGATTACATCAATAACGTCATCGACAGCATGCCACGTCGCCTTGCGGAGGTTATTAGAGTGCAAAGAGGACCAACCAGGTACTAAATGTTTAATATGAACTGATATAAGGTTACAGGCGCTATTTATAATAATTTGATGATGTTATATTTTGCCATTATATATGTTTTGGTAAGGTTTTGTTGTGATAGGCGAAATACTGAATTACACATTTTTCTACAGGTGTCTGATAAAAATGTTTGGTGTTCTTATAAATCGTTCATGATGTCCATAGTACCTGTCTCATTATACCAATTACATATGTTGATGTTTAATATAACATGCATTTCTCAGTTTGACATCGCTAAGTGTATTTGTATTTCATCTTAATAATAATGATCTTATTTGTTACAAAATATGCAAACATTTTGGCCAAAAGTTTGCAAGGGATATCTCCGTCTTGGAAATTATAAATTTACGATTTAAAACACATCTTTATGATCTGAGTGTATGAATACTTTTCTTC